GGAAAATAAATTGGTTTCGCAGGTATCAGAATTGGTTTTGCTTTCAGTTATTATATTCTGTCTTGATTAAGACGATGAAACTCGATTATATTCCGTTGTAGATATTGTCACTCTCGAACTTTCTCCTCTGATCTTCGAACATTAAAGAATGACGAAAAAGAAGTCGAAGAAAAACAATGTTTCATCGAAAAACGAGTCAGCTGCAACGATTGTCGATGATAGTGAGAATGCGGTACCGAATGTAACTACGAATATTGCTGATACAAATGAAAGGGACTTGTTTGACACAATGGATAAAACCATGAGGAAACGAAAGAAACATTTGAACGACTTTTACCACAATCCAAAACGAACAAAAGGTTTGTTTTACGATTACGAAAACAACCAGTTATGGTTGATGGCAATATATGCTTAATGAAACTTTTTAATGTTTAGTGGTTTCGGACAGTGACGAGGACGATGATGATGATGATGTATCAGATGAATCAAAGAAGAATTCGAATCGCGAATCAGCAAGAAATGGCTTTTCAAACGGTACAAAAACGAATGGAGTTGGTAATTCTTCTTCGGATGGTTCGGTTGATTTCACCTCGTCAAATGAACACGACTTGACTTCGACACTAATCAATGCTGAGAAACGTCTCGCATTGAATAAATCGATTTTTTTACATAATAAAAGTCGATCAAATGGATGTGTAAATAAAAATAAATCTAGTGAACTGACTGATGAAATTAATTGCCAACGTACACCATCGTCTGTGGATATCAATCAAGGGGAAGCTACCCAATCACAGTACGATATGCCCTTGACTGATAAAATTACTGAAATAATGTTTATTAATTTACGAATTTTAGACAGGTTGCAAAGACACTTGTATCGACCAGTAAACATTCGAAGCAACATTGCGAATCAAATAGAAAGTGAGTTTGTTGGGATAATTGCGACTTTTCCAGTTCTCAAGTATTTGACATTGATATTGACTATGTGTCCTGAGTTGTTTTTGTCGAACTACTTCATCGGACCTTTTTGAATACATCTCCTTATCGAGCATTACAGCTGAACGCTCGCCTCCATGAGTTTGTGGGCAGAGCAAACTATTTATTTTGTTTATAAGATGTAATCATCTTCATTTTTCTATCTTTACATTAGACATAATATCTTAAACGCATAATGATCTATACGACTGAGTAAACAACTATGAATGCGGTAGCGAAAGGAAACCACATTGGTTCTCATTTTATCTGGTCCTAAAATCATCGAGAAAAAAATGTTGTTTAAGATTGAAAGAGAAAGTATTTGAAAGGAATGTGAGAAAAACGTGTTTATGGTTCGTATTGAAGTATTCATAGCTTCTTGAGTATTCTTTTCAACTGAAAACTGAGAAAAAACAACGAACAGTGCCATGGTTTATTTGGTTCTTTTTTTAGCCGCGATGCTTTGTCTCAAACAGCATCCAANATTAAGACGATGAAACTCGATTATATTCCGTTGTAGATATTGTCACTCTCGAACTTTCTCCTCTGATCTTCGAACATTAAAGAATGACGAAAAAAAAGTCGAAGAAAAACAATGTTTCATCGAAAAACGAGTCGGCTGCAGCGATTATCGATGATAGCGAGAATGCGGTACCGAATGTAACTACGAATATTGCTGATACAAATGAAAGGGACTTGTTTGACACAACGGATAAAACCATGAGGAAACGAAAGGAACATTTAAACGACTTTTATCTCAATGCAAAACGAACAAAAGGTTTGTTTTACGATTACGAAAACAACCAGTTATGGTTGATGGCGCTATATGCTTAATGAAGCTTTTTAATGTTTAGTGATTTCGGACAGTGACGATGATGATGATGTATCAGATGAATCAAAGAAGAATTCGAATCGCGGATCAGCAAGAAATGGCTTTTCGAACGGTACAAAAACGAATGGAGTTGGTAATCCTTCTTCGGATGGTTCGGTTGATTTCACGTCGTCAAATATTTCTTTAACAACGTCGTCAAGTGGACACGACTTGACTTCGACACCAATCAATGCTGAGAAACGTCTCGCATTGAATAAATCGATTTTTTTACATAATAAAAGTCGATCAAATGGATATGTAAATAAAAATAAGTCTAGTGAAATGACTGATGAAATTAATTGCCAACGCACACCATCGTCTGTGGATACCAATCAAGGGGAAACTACCCAATCACAGTACGATATGGCCTTGACTGATAAAATTACTGAAATAATGTTTATTAATTTACGAATTTTAGACAGGTGGCAAAGACATTCGTATCGACTAATAAACATTCAAAACAACATTCCGAATCAAATAAAAAGTGCGTTTGTTGGGATAATTGCGACTTTTCCAATTCTCAAGTATCTGACATTGATGTTGACTATGTGTCCTGAGTTGTTTTTGTCGAACTACTTCATCAGACCTTTTTGAATACATCTTCTTATCGAGCATTAAAGCTAAACGCTCGCTTCCATGAGCTTGTGGGCAGAGCAAACTATTTATTTTGTGTGTAAGATATAATCATATCTTCGTTTTTCTATCTTTACATTAGACATAATATCGTAAACGCATAATGATCTATACGACTGAGTAAACAACTATGAATGCGGTAGCGAAAGGAAACCACATTGGTTCTCATTTTATCTGGTTCTAAAATCATCGAGAAAAAAATGTTGTTTAAGATTGAAAGAGAAAGTATTTGAAAAGAATGCGAGAAAAACGTGTTTATGGTTCGTATTGAAGTATTCATAGCTTCTTGAGTATTCTTTTCAACTGAAAACTGAGAAAAAACAACGAACAGTGCCATGGTTTATTTGGTTCTTTTTTTAGCCGCGATGCTTTGTCTCAAACAGCATCCAATGGGAAAACTCCATACATATCTCAAAGGTAATCGTCCAACAATGTATCTCTATGTACATTTGACTTAGATGATTTAGCTCTATCACATTTGCAACGCAATCAGCAGTGACTAATAAGCATACGAATTCGAATTCGGGTCAGTTCAACAACAAGTATGGATTTTTTTCTTATCTCTTCTGATCGTTTTTGTTTTTGTTTTTATATTTAAGCTTTCAGGTCAATCGGTCGCTCATATGCTCTCATACAGATGGTGAACCGGTCGTGAATCGACCATCAACTACTACCAGGTCTCAATGGCGCCCGATCGACATAAAAAACACAATGGAATATCGCGAATTAGAAAAGAAAAACAAAGATTTGTCGAATAAAGTTGACAATCTGAAAGAAGCTCTTTCAAAAGAGCGCAAAGACCGTAAAAGAATGGAAGAAACGCATATTCGTAAGTTAGTTTCATTTGCCTTACTGATTGAATAAGTTCAAATAAAAGTCATCTTACTTTTACGCCTAGAATTTGTTATGATTTCACTAGCGTTAGGAATACTGTGTAGACCAATGCTACATCTAAGAAACCTGCCTATTCTGTCTCATTGTAATCGAAAGATAATGAATCAAATGAATGCGCAAGTCTTATAGTCTTTAATAAGCACTATTGTTTCATATTATATTCATTGAGATGTCGTTGCTGACCGTTCGTGATATGTTTTCAAAGGGCAATGCTATTACTCACTTCAGCTGTTGGAGTTTTCCGAATAATCATTCGACTTTTCTTCGATCTTTTTAGTCAAACCTCGTGGCTCTTTTTGGAATGAATTAGCAATCTTCATGGATTCGCATACGGATTTGTACATGGGGGATGGCCGCACTATCGACCAAATAGGATGTGAGCTTGGTTTAAGTGATCAAACTATTCAATCGGTTCAACGTAATGCTGATAGGCCGGATAAAGTAGCTATGAATATCTGGAGAAGACTTTGTCCGACCGTTGATGATCGAGTTTTTGTTCAATCAATCAAGCGAGTACCGATATCTACCCTGGAAAATATATATGGTAAGTTCTTTTTCATTTATCAACTGATAGAAATAATGATAATTTTCAAAAGCAATGAAAAATCTTATTTTGTTGTTTTTATTTCAGCATTCTCTCGACTATCACATCCCAAAAACAGTTTTAGTTTTAAGAAGATGCGAAATGACATTGCAGCAAACATTAGACA